TTAAAATGATTTTTTGTGTATATACAGTAGATATCAAACCCTCTTCCGCTAGTTTGTGTCTCTACTTCTTCAAGTGTTGAATCCCCTTATTAAAAATTCTGGCTCCACCATCGTGCATAGCAATACTTGGCTCATGAAAACGAAATGCGTGAGGAGACATGTTGAGAATATAATCATATAAATAAAAATATATTATCAATAACAGGTTAAATTTTTAAATGAGTTGATTGTATATATATATTACAACGGTACTAGAAAAAATCAACTTTTTTTTCAGGCAACTACTGATAACATCCTATTTGTCTAGCATGACTGAAAGGGACAGATAATTGAACTATTCATGTAATATTATCCGTCCTTTCATGAAAGATTTTGGATCAGTGAATTGACATTATTGTTCTGATGGACACAAAAAAATTATAAGACTTCAATAATAGAGGCTATCATGTTTTTTCGGTGAGCTCAATTATAGAACCTAATGTTTTTTTTTTATCAACTATAGATTTGAGGAATATCCATGTATATATTTGGTAGGTAGGGGGGAGTTTTTTCTATATGAACCTTTGACAAGAATTTTAATTATTTGGGTGATCGACACTTTTTTTTCCTTTAATTAATGAAAACGTAAACCAATTACCCACTATCAATAATAATAAAGTGTTTATGCAACATCAAGCATGGCATTAGAAAAAAGATTTCTTTTTATATGTAAAGATATATAAGGAGAGTGCTCTTACTTTTATAAAAATTTAGGCAAAAATCAAATGTGTCGATCAAAAAACCATACTTATAGGCTATTGCTAAACAATGAAACTACTAGCAAATCATATACTTAAAAGGCACATGAACTCCAGCATAATTAGAAATGTGTCGTTCTTTTTAAACAGAATAGAAAATATAACATATCGAAAGAGATATTCATCAACCGGAGGTGAAAGAAGTCCAATCATGGCCTTTCGCCTATAAAAAAATTGTGGTGGAGTGAGAATATGTTCACACGCGCGTGCAAATAAATATATGAAGGGAGAGAGTCTAGTGGGGTAAATAAATAGTAAAACAGCAAAAGATTATATTTATGTTCTCGTAAAATACTATTCCTAATTTTCAAAGAAATGAAAGTTGAATTTGGTGAAGCAAACAAATAGAAGGAAACAAAGAGCATAAAAACAAAATAGGACAATATTCACAAACAAATCGTATGACATAATTGACTCTGCAACCCTGCCTGCTTCGGTTTCTAATTTCCTTTTAATTTGATTATTTATTTTTAAATTAGGTATTTTGAAATTATTTACTATATAATAATTGTGGTATATTTTTGTGTCACCCCTCTATGTGAGTAATAATTCTGAGATAAAATAATATATTTATTCTTTTCTTTCAAAGTTTTATTCAGAAAAACAAGATTAAATTAAATTGAAAATAAAAGTTTATCTTTATTTACTTAGTATAAACCAAAGGCATGTTTAATGCTATGCCTTGTAGTTGTATATCTCAATTTTAGTCCAATAAATTAAACATCTCTCTGCATAGATATATCAATTAAATAATTTTGTCATTATTTTGGTTTTCATATTACAATTTTAGGATAACTTGTTGTGCAATCAAATATAATAATTCCTAGAGATTTAAGTTATCTATGTGTCTAGTAAAACCGACTTCTATAACAAGTTATTACTATTTAGGTCAACAATAACAATAATATATTTAGTGTAATTTCACAAATTGATGTATGAAGAGGATAAAGGGTACGTAGATCTTATTTCTATCTCAGAGGTAGAAATATTGTTTCTAATAAATCTTCAACTCAAGAAAAAATAGTCCAATGAAAAAAATAACGGAAGTACAAAAAACAATTGTTAATAACGAAAAATAATAGATAGTAACAAAAGAGAAACTACAACAAAACAATGTGTTAATCGAGGTACAAGGAATCAACATATGATAGCATAAATTGAAGGATAAGAAACTATAGAAGCAATACTACGACTACTAATATAAAAGGATGATAAGACAACACATTGCTACCTACTAACCTTTTATCCTAATATTTGTCTACCACACACCCTCCTATCTAAGGTCATGTCCCCGTTAAGCTAAAACTGTATCATGTCATATCTAATCACCTCTCCAATACTTCTTTGGTCATCCTCTACCTCTCTTGAAATCATCCATAGTCAACATCTCACACCTTCACTGGGGCATCCATGCAACTCCTCTTTACATGTCCAAACCATTTCAATCTTATTTTTTGCATTTTGTCCCTATACCAAATACACTCTCACCTTCTCCTAGATATCTTCATTACCATGTATGTCATCCAACTATATATGACTTGTTATAGAAAGTTATCTACGATTGTAGGTCAACTTAATATGATATCAGAGCTTAGATTTAATGGGTCGCATATGACAAAGGCAGATGGTGGTGTGGGGCTTGATGTACTTTTCTTTACGAGTTTAGAGACACCATATACAGAAAGAAAGAAAAAACTAGTTGCGGGATTTGGTTGTCATAAAATACTCAGATAATGTGGGGGCATGCAATGGATCTCAAAAATTGACTCGTGGATTGTGGTGATGGGCCACAAGAAACTTAGTTTGACGGGGAGATTATTTAATTGTGCGAATAAAGTTACATTGATAGCTAAAAATATTGAGAATGAATCTACAGATAAAGTGTAGGATCTCTTGATAGTGTGATGTGTTTTGGAAAAGAAATGTATGAGTTTGCTCCAAGCAGACAGTGTTAAGAGTATTATTGAACTATTTTAGCCCAACAACTGGTATCAGAGCTCAATTTCAATGAGATGAGTATGACGAGGGCAAATGATAGTGAGACTTGATTTACTTCTCCTTACGAGTTTAGAGACGTACACATACAAAAAGAAACTATTTTTGCATTTTAGTTGTCATAAAATACTCAGATGATGATGTGGCGACACACAATGAATCTCGAAAATTAACAAAATTTCACATTGGTACGAACTTGACCTAAAGCGGACAAGATCACACTGTACTAAGAGTATCTCAGACCGTTTTAATCGAAAAAATTAAATTATCAAAAAAATAATATAATTTTGTATTAACTAAATTAGGCCTTCACATCAACGATACTCACCAATCGCATCCGTGCTTCTTTTGTTTGTTCTTGTTCTTTTGAAAGGGACAGTAATTAAATTTTGAAGTACCAAAAGTGTGGTATTGTATTGTATATATATACCAAAAATTGAATGTGAAGCAAGATCATATGATGACAATATACAATAATCTCTAATTGGAGAATAATGAAGTCGGCAAGGGACTTTACAGTCACCAATATTGTTAATATTAATAATTAATATTGCAACCCCGTCCCTATTTATTATGGTTGGTCTTTTTGCTTTCCATTCACTTATAATATATATATATGCTTATTGCCTTCTCTTATTTTCTCTCTCAACTTTTGTTCTAGGGTTTTCTTCCCTTTCAACTCTTTTGTTGTTTTTAAGTTCTAATGGTGAAATATTCATTAATCCTATAGGAGAATCATCAAGGGACAAAGCTTGAAAATTAGTCACTTTATCAAGAAGATCAAGAGGTATATATATCACTAGTTGTCTCTTTTATGGTTTTTTTTCCCTTCAATGTATACTATATGGTGTAGATCTAATATATGTAACTCTTTTTTAGACGTTTTCCTATGGATGAGTTTAATTGGCATATTTTGAAGGATAGTCAAATGAAATAATAGTAGTTGTGTGACTATTAGATTTTGTACGTATAATTTTGATTTAAAAAAAGGTCTTGTTTTGCGGAACTTTAATTTGCAAGTGGAATATATGTCGAATAAAATCATATAAAAGACTTTAGAAGTAGTAGTAATTAAGTCCACATGTCATGTTTTGCTACTGATGACTTAACTTCCCCTAGACGACAAATTATTTAGAGGCTTAATTTGAGTCTGATTTTAGTTTGATCCAATCTAATTAATTAGAGGATGTTCACCTTCAATACAACAAAAACAACATTTAGCGGCAATAAATATACACATTAACAAGAAGTGATAAAGCTTTTACCGGCATTAGTTAATTGTCATTGGATACATTGTGCTTTAGGGACATTTACAAAGAGTGCTAAATGCCGCTAAATATACATTTTTAGTGACAATTAAACTATCACCGTATTTAATTTAAATTTAGTACTCAAGCAACTGCACGATAAACACTTTAATTAAGGATAGATAACACTTAATTAGGTATTTCTCATCACAGTTTTGAGAAGATCTCTTGTTGAAGGGAAATGGATGTAAGTTTTATTTTAGAGATAATGTTACAGAATTAAATACTTTAATCTCGTGTTTTATCTTTGATACGTATATGTTCAGGATTAAAGGCGGGAGTATTTTATTAGCTTCAATCTTTAGTGAGTATATATACGTACCATACTACTTAAAAAATCACTTTTTTTACTTTGAAATATATTCAGTGGCTATTCTCGTACATATTTTCATTGAATTAGTTAAGGAAAAAATGTTCAGTAGTTATTTTTAATATTTCAATGAAAATTTATTTTTCGCCATGTGTATTTCCGATGAACCGGTTTGATAGAAATGAGCTATCTATGTAAAAATCATATATATAACACAAATTTCTTCTTGATTCAAGGCGGAAAAAGTCTTCATTTGTGCCAATGGATTTATGTTTTGTCAACTGATAGTGTGAAACAATTTAGACCATCATGTTATGTTTTATCCGTTATATAATAAGAATTAATTAGTACTTCTACATATCAAGTATTATGATATTGTAAAATGAAAATAGAGAAACAGAATATTTGTACCATCATGTAAGATTAAATCGACATATAAAAAGTAACTCTTCGTAGCAAGTTTGATGATGGTCATCTCATAAATAAAGTTATAATCTACTTATAACATGTTAAATTGTTCTACTAACCATATGACTATATAACTTAAACTCATTGTGAATTAACACAAATTCAATTTCTAATTACTTAAACAGGATGTCTTCTACTAGCAAATACTCCACTCCTCCATGTGCCGCTTGCAAATTTTTGAGAAGAAAATGCTTGCCAAGTTGTGTTTTTGCACCTTATTTTCCTCCAGAGGAGCCAATAAAGTTTACAACCGTACACAAAGTATTCGGGGCCAGTAATGTGAGCAAGCTTCTGAACGAAATCCAGCCTCATCAAAGAGAAGATGCAGTCAATTCTCTAGCTTATGAAGCGGAGGCGCGATTAAAAGATCCTGTCTATGGATGTGTTGGAGCAATTTCAGTTCTTCAAAGGCAAGTTCTTCGCCTCCAGAAGGAACTCGATGCAACGAATGCTGATTTAATGCGATACGCCAATTATGAAAAAGTTAATAATAATAATAATAATCAAGAAAGGAATCATAATTTTCAGTATGGGAGAAGAATGGTGAATTCTGGTTACTATAATTATTCTTCTGCATGGAACAATGGTATTTCTGGAGGTCACAACAATATTGGTACTGATAATTGTGATGGTGGCAGGTGAGGAATTGTATTTGTTAATTAACTTTGTTTTTTCAATTGAGGGAAAGGAAATTGAACTTGAATTAATGTACAAATTGAATATTGTGTATTTGGTGGATTATTGATCGTTGCATGTTATATAGATGGAGATATGTGTTTTGATTTATGCTAAAATAATAATGTAGCAAGGTATTGTGCTCTTCTTGTCCCAACCGAAACAAATCCTACTAGGAATATTATTTTTTGTTATTAGTACTATTATATTTTGTTGCTTGAAAATAAGTACAGGAGTGGGGCTTATCATTTTTAATTTTTAGTGGTGCTAGCAATCGAGGTTAATTACTTAATCTTGGTTCCCAAGTCAATAGCATATGAAATTAGGATCATATATACATCTCAAGCTTGGATCTCCGGATAGATTGTTCACATATCCAATATTTGACGATATTTGAGTGTGCTGGGGTGGATGAATGAAATCGGGTCCTTTGAATAGATTTTCACGCATCCAGTACCAGATAGTTGTTAGAAAATAGCATACACAGCGGAAGCATTCCAAAATCATACATCTTGCATGAGTATAGACAACAATCACAAATACGTATCACATACAAGGTATGCTGAAAATTAACTCAGGATTACCTCTTGAAGCGTGTGCAGATATCTTGAAGCAAATCCAACTCCAGCTCTACAGTCTTCTACAGTGATCCCAAATAACAATTGAACTCTCTCAATACTTGGGTGGGCAAGTATCGTATAGAATACTGAATTTTTTTTCTAGGTTAGAAGAATCCCTACTTATAGAGATGTCTTCCTAGTCCAAAAAGGAGAAGAAAGTATAAATCCTTATTCTTCAAGAAAACCCCTGAAACTCACGTTTCTTTCTTGGATGAAATATACACGTTACTTTTCCTTCTTCTCCTAGAAAATAGGATTCTGAGTTCTAGTTAAATTGGGCACTGGAGGGACCACTGAATTTATTACTGAGGCTTCCTATTATGGAAATAATTCCAAATAATTAATTTGAATTATTCTTACCATAATAAATTACAAATCATTCCACTAAAAATTCGTAATTGCACTCCTCTATATATATTTTGAAATTCACCATTAAACACTTATGTAATTCCCCATGTTAAGATTCCAGATACTAATCAATAAATTAAATTACTGACGAATTTAATTCAATGATTAATTTCCTTTAGAGCAACACTTAACTTATTTCATGTGCCAGATTCATAAATCTACCGGCCGGGTTTACACATGAAAACTTATAAGTTTCTCATAAAAAGGTGTATCATCAATCTCTATACTGAGACATGGATTCCATCAACTAACTAATTATTTCACCAATACATATTATCATCATCCAATCTACCAGACATATTGACCCATCTCAGAATCTCACCTTTTAATAAATCAAAACGATAATTAATATATACAGATCATAATCGTTATATCAAGATTAAGAATATAAGTACATTTAACAGTTTAGAGAATATGTTTTTATCAGTCAGTCTAAAACATCTATCTCTGCTCGGTCCCGTTCAATACATACAAAATGCACTAGCACGAGAAGTTAGAACTATACCATTCTCATAATCAAGATAAATTACATTTAATCTCGTGCTACAATCTTTCTGATGGTTTTGTCCAAAATTTCCATCTACGATTGTGAACTATAACTTTTAACTTATAAGAACCGATGATTTAATCTTCTGTGTATAAGCTTAAACTCTATACACCAAATCATCTACTATATAAATTAAGGACACATATATGACAATTGATCTATTTAATGTAACACTTTATTGAATTGAATAAATGAATAAACAATTGTTCAATAATAATACTATATCAAAACGCATGGTTAATAGTATATCCTAACAATAGTGTCTGGGTGTGTGTGGATGTGAAGAGTTTCTTGCACTGTTATATGATATTGGAGTAGTTTTGATTCCCTCATCATGAACTAGCTTTTGAATTAATCAAGTTGCTCTATCATTTGCATACCTAGTTGTTGATATTACTGCCTATCATATCACCAATGAGAATAATTTACAGACGTTGGCGCACCTAACTGAAAATTGGAAAGTGACAATATATCGACCGCATCCTTCCTTCAAATCAGGAGCGGATCTTGGGGGTGGGAGCAGAGGCGGAGCCAGGATTTTCAGTAAGGGGGTTCAAAATCTGTAGAAACAGACACATGAAGTAGCCGAAGGGGGGTTCGACATCTACTATATATACGTATAAAATTATTTTAACCATATATAAATAATATAATTTTCCGCCGAAGGGGATTCAAATGAACCCCCTTCTTACAAGGTGGCTCCGCCCCTGGGTGGGAGAGTGTTCACCTGAACCCCCTTGAAAAAAATTACATTGTATATATATATATATATATATATATATATATATATATATATATATATTTTGAATTCTGTGAACACAAGACAAGAGGTTGGCTCAATGATTTAGGGGTTCAAAATTTGCTTGACCTTCCTAGTTCAAATTCTTGGCACTACATTTTTATTTTTCGAACCCCCAAGTAAAAATCTTGAATTCGCCACTGCTTCAAATAGTATATGAATAGAGGAAATGAGAAAAATAACTTCAAATATATATATATATATATATATATATATATATATATATATATATATATATATATATATATATATAGTATGATAGAAGTGACCTATTAGGAAAATGTTTTTGGGATAATTATGAGGCTCAATAATTCGATCTATCACTTAGTTTACAAAATGTGTACAAAACATATTAAATAGTAACATACACTTTATACTAAATTTATATTTACAAAACATATTAGATAGTACGTAACATACACTTTATACTAAATTTACATATAATATGCATACATATACATAATTATATATATGTTGTTTCAACTTTCATGATGTTTATGTCATCACCACACTCTCCAGTTGTTGATTTTGACTTAACTTTCAGTATATTCTTTTTCACTCACCAATAAACATCGAAAAATAATTTTGGACTTGTAAAACTATTTACAGTAATTTGCATTGAGTAATCTATATGACATTCCCTGCCTATTTAGCCTATACTAACAAACATTCCAATGTCCATTGTGGCTCCTTGCGTTTGTGTGCTATACAAGCTAGTGACAATGAGTATGGACAAATTAATTACTACTAGTACCTTCGTTTTAATTTATTTGTTGTATCCTAGTTACTATTAGATGGTCAAAAAATATTTTTTATTGTAATTTTTAAATACTTTGAATTATTTACTAGTGTGACTTATGATACTTAAATTCAGTTTTTAAATATGTACATTTTATTTTTAAAAAAATTATGTTTGAATTCACACTAAATATTAGTTAATTTAAGTTATTTAACCTTCACATTCTGAATCAAGCCATATAAATTAAAATTTTGATAGTAATTTGTACTTGATCTTTATATATATGTATGTAGTTAAAATTCATTAAAAATTAGCTCAACAAACATCTAATATTCCATAGGAAGGCCATGAGCTAAAAAGAAAATTGAAGGCTCTTCTTTTTAAAAAAAATACTTAATATGTGTACGAGGGAAAATGGGGAGGTCATTACAAGATAGAAAATCAAAATTGTACCAAATAAGGTAAAAGTTTAAATAGTCACCCAGTTGAGCTATCAAAATTTCTTAATAGATTTGAAATCTTGTTTCGTGTAAAATCGATTTATTCCACAGAAGGAAGATTACATTAGTTTTCCTAACTATTTACGATTTATCATTTTTATCTGAGATACAAAATCATTAAGTACAAATGTGTAATAAGTCGCCACAATAGACATCTATTATAGATAGCTTACGAGAGATTCCATGGAGGAAAGCAATTTGCAACAATAAAGGGGCTCTCAGATAAACATTTGCAATTTTAAGTAGTACAAATGTGTAATAAGTCGCAACAATAGTTTGAGTGTTTAATCAACTTTTCGAGACATGTTCAGGCAATTCGATGTCATAATTTCCTATGTACTATTTGAACTTACTGTGTGTGTATACTTGGAATCAATTTGACATACAATGTTAATATCATTGACAGTGCATGCCAGATGAAGTACATTATAGAGATAAATTTTGAAGAAAACAGCAGAAGAACAAATATTAAACGTTCAAGCTTAATAAGGGAGAATATTAATTAATAGGTTCATTTTTTCTGCATACTTTCATATTAGCTGATGAAAATTGTGATTATGTGGGAAATTTGGAAGATACAGGGATTAAAACTTTTACAAATCTGATCTTGTCAAAAGGAATTTACAGATGCAGAGCAAGTTGACCTGTAGAAAAGGAGCAACATACTAAGTTGAAAGAATCAGGGGCGGAGGCGTGGAGCGAGAATGCCTGGATACGAGTTCAGCCGAATCCAGTAACTTTTGCTCAAATAGTATATTCGTATTAAGAAGCTTATTAAGCTAGCGTTTGACCATAGATTTTCAAATATTCTTGGCAAAGAAAATTTGGGTGAAATTTCACCATGTCTTTGGCCATAGTATTTGGGAAATATATTTCACTTTTTTAGAAAAATATGATTTATACCCATAAGTTTTAAAAAATATCAAAACTAACCATAAGTTTGTAGTACAAGTCAATTGGATCTTCGTTGCACCAAATAACAAGTGTCCATGCCTCTGTTACCCTGAACCGATTGTTCATCATTTTCATCAACAATCATATCATCACTTTCATATTCACTGAATATTTCATCACTACTTTGATGTTCACGTAAAAAATCATGTAATACAACGCAAACAACTACTATAGAGGGTGCTTTTGTAAAAGATTAAAGTTTGGTGTAAAATTTCAATTTTCAAAAGATCCCAAATAATGAGATTTGGCCCAAATACTAGAAAAAAACTAGTATTTGGGAATTTGGGATATTTGCCAAATAATGACAAATTGTATGGACAAACACTATTTGCCAAATTTTCCCCCAAATATTATTTGGGAAATCTATGCCCAAACGGGCTCTAAATATGTACAAATATTAAGTTTCGAATGCAGTTATTAACACTTGAAATCATCGTTATAAAATTTAGAACCCATAAGGTTAATGTTGGGATAAGCATTGTTTTGATAAATGACGAAATGC